GAGAGAGAGAGAGAGAGAGAGAGAGAGAGAGAGAGAGAGAGAGAGAGAGAGAGAGAGAGAGAGATGTTTGATGATACAAATCAAACGATGCAACCCAGATAAACAGAGTACTACTCTGGTTCCCTTCTTCTCCAGCTCTTTCTTTAGGTGCGCACACGCTCTCTTAATTTCATGTCAAGGGCAGGGGGCTTGACGGTGTGGGGAAAGGAGGGAGCTACTATGAAGATTAAACGTACTTGGAAGTGCACCCCTGACTAAATTTGGCACCATGCTAACACTGCAGCTATCATCAGCCATGTCACTCCCAGTAGACACCGTAGAAGAGCTGTCATTGATAAGAGTACTTGCAGACGTCCACGAGGCTTTATGCCACATAACTGATGGTTCTTCACAACAGGATCCCTCTGCAGTTCCCTGACCGTGCAGAGAGCATCAATGAAGTGTATTAGTCAATGTATGCATTTGTGATTAAAACGGTAGTAAAACCCAATGGGGCAGGGAAAGGAGGGAGAGACGGGTACTGATTTCCTTAGGAGAAATAAATTACAGGCTGAAAGTATTACAGTGCAAGAAGGACACACTTTTCTAGTGCAAGAAGGAAACGGACACAAACAGCCTGCATCAATGACATATTACAAATGAATGCTAAGAATGTGTACGAGAAGAAGAAGAAGAAGAAGAAGAAGAAGAAGAAGAAGAAGAAGAAGAAGAAGAAGAAGAAGAAGAAGAAAAAGATCATTCGGCAGAGATAGTGTGTCAGCTGAGAAACTCACTGGAGTCGCCGCAATGCGAAGAGTGATAGCTCCAAAAAGTTGGCATTCTGCATGAGAACACATTTGAAGTCCGAACCACAGATTATTGGAGGACGGGGCACAGATCATTCATATCACACCGCTGGGGACACATCCAGCTGACCAACTGCAAACATTATCGCGCTGTAGGCGCTGTGGTAGCGGAGGTTAAGAAGTTTAACCAAGCCGCCTCCCCTCTGTCCCCACTCCCTCGACTGGCCTTCCCCCTGTGTCATCCCTCTCTCCACTCCCCGTGAATATAGCCCTAGTGGTGATAAGTTTTATAAGGAAAAAAACAACTTCCGTCAGGCTGCATCAGCAGAATTGTTTGGGCCTGAGTGTCAGAAGCAGAGAAGACTCAGGCTGGCAAGTTTGTTTAAACCGCCAGTACCTACCGCGTTTTTCGTACCTCCCCTGGTGGAATGAATACGGACCCGAGGCGCAGACCGACTTGGCTACCACGTTAACGCCCACACCAACTGGTAGGTCCCGGTGGTTTAACCTTGACGTTTCGGTAGCAATTTTCTTTGGGTCTGGATGGGACCGTTTAAGGTAGTTTGGACCTGGCCCGAGGATGGTCCAGCGTATCAGACGTGGTCTAGTAGGGTACCAAGCAATGGTCCACCCAGCCACTCAATTCGAAAAAGGGCGAGACTGTGTGGTCGGTCTTGGCCCAGCTCACATATGGTAGTCTGGACCAGGCATGAGGCTGGTCCAGCCTACCAGACCCAGTCCAGTAGGGTACACCAGACAATGCTCGACCTATCGACACGGTTCAAGAAAGCACGATCATTCGGCCAATCCAATAGGTTCAAATTCGGATCACGTTCTGTTCCCCTCTGTCTCAAACCCTTCATCTCTCCCGTCCATCTTCCCCTATGTCTTTCCCCTCTAACTACCCTCCATGTCTCCCCTCCGACCACTGTCGTCTTCATCATGTCTGTCAACACATTGTCATCATCATCTTTTTCTTCTCCTTCCTCTGCTTGTCCATGGTTTTCTGTGAAAGCTGGGATAGACGCCAGGCTGTACTTTTCTTCTTCTTCCTTTCCTATACAAGTCCAGATATTCGCCTCCAAGCCATTTCTTTTCCCACCCATGTGTGTGTGTGTGTGTGTGTGTGTGTGTGTGTGTGTGTGTGTGTGTGTGTGTGTGTGTGTGTGTGTGTGTGTGTG